GTCACTTCTTCCAGACTTTATGGGTTGTCTTTGCAACTTTTGAAGGTGGAAAGACCTTCACCTGAAGGTGGGGGCATGCTGTAACCCCAGGTCTAGTGGTGCAGGGTGCCAAATGCAGGTGCGAGGTGGTTCTGGATTTGAGGGGGTGTGATGTCTCATCTGCTCAGGCCATGAGGGGCCACGGCACTGATAACTGCATGTTCCTTGGCAAACACCATGGGGGTCCACAGTGGCACCTCAAAGCCCAGTGGTTAGGGAGTTTGGCAGACAGTAGTGGTGTCCTCAACTGGGGGTGTGCACACCCCTGGCTGCAGGACCAGCTGCAGGTGCCTGTGTAGTGGCAGGGGCTGGTTTCAGACATATGCACCATAGTGAGGCCAGGGATAGCTGCAGAGCCCTGGGCTGACTCTGGGAACAGTGGCAGCTGTGGGGGCGGCTGCCAGAGGGCATTACCATGGCTGTAGGGTCTTGTCATGATGCACTGCAGTGGAGGCTGCTGCCGGAAATCAGGCTATGGGCATGCAGGTGCCCAGCTGCAGATGAGCCCAGAGGTGCAGGCCAGGGACAGGAAACAGGCAGATCTAGCTTACAAGGAGCTGTGAGGGCTCTGGCTACTGGCGTGCATTCTTGTGGCTGTAGGGTCTCCCTGTGGGTGTGCTCATGGCAGTGGAGGCCTGTTTTAAGGGTCTGGCTGGGCACGTGCAGATGCATAGCCGGGTAGTTTGCTGAGTGGTGGAGCCAGTGGCTAAAGACAGAGCCAAATTAAGCCCACAAGCAGCTGGGAAGGCCTAGTTGTTGGTGTGTGCTCCTGGGGTAGCAGCACATGGCCATGCACACACACATACAATGGCGGAGGCGGGGGATGAGGGCCAGGCCGGGCCATGTAGGTGCATGGCTGGAGGGACTAGCCCCAAGCACAAGCACAGTGGTGGGTGTCAGCCATGGGGTCCACTTGGTGTCTTGTACTTGTACAGCCACAGAAGGCTGGGCTGGCTGCTGCTGTGGCTGGCTCCTAGGCTCCAGCAGCAGAGGGGTGGGTAGGGAGCAGGAAGGACTTCAGGTGGCTGGAGTCCCCAAATGTGAGTATCTGTGGGGCAAAAAGCCAGTGAAATATGCAGGTGGCCCACGGCAGCTGTACTGCCCACTGGGACTTCAGTGGTGAAAGCTGCTGCGGTCTTTGGCAGAGTGGGCCCCTGGGAAGCAGCCACTCCCACTGCATGGCTGATACAGGCAGCCCCTGCCTCTCTTCCTTATTCCTTCCCACCTCTATTCATCTCAGCTTTGCCTGTGTCTGGGTAGGGTAAATCCAAAGCCGGTCCTTCATGCAGTGTCCTGAAAGGCTGGGGAAGCGGGCTGCTCCCCGCTCTCCATTTCATGGTGAGGGGAGCTCTGAGCTGGAGAATCCCCTCAGCACTCAGTGGTGCCGGCCAGGAGACGGGTGATGTGGGCAAACTGAGGCTGCTCTTCCCGTCCTTTATGTGCAGCTACTCTCAGGGTTTTTCCCACTATGTCATTGAAGATCCTTAAGTGGATGTCTGAGCTCTCCCAGAGATGTTTTCATTCATGGATAGCTGTCTAATCATTGAACTTTTTGGAGGGATGGAGGCTGAGGTCTCCTACCTCGCCATCTTGGTGACGTCTCCCTGACATGTACAACCCTTTTAACTTATACAGTACCTAATTATTCTTAAAGTTACAGTGTCACTTGCTAGTCACACTTCAGACTAGAGACCAGGCAGTGGGATAAAATGAAATTTACTCTCATCCTGCTTTTCCAACTGGTAAGATCTTGCTCAGATCCTACTTTAGTTACCCTGCCTGACCACAATTCAAGTTTACTTTCTTGCACACATGGACTCTTAAAGTCTGCTTTTTAAACTGAATCTTTTATTTTATTAGGTCAGCAGCCCATGTAGGGAACAGAGCAAGCCAATGAGGTCCCTGTGTGCTGTCTGCTGTGGTAAAGTCCAGAGATGTCTTCCTGTCTCCAAACATGGGTGACTGAAGAGCACCAGGTCAGACTGTTGATGCAAAAGGTAGCCACAACAGTAGTACATACTTGGTAGGAGGTGGACAATACCTATTTTGGCAAGAGCTACGGGATTGAGTAGTTAAAACTTGATGAGAAATTTTGCATTCTGTTTTTAGGCTTGTCCCAAGGCTTTCTGACATTTTAGCTAGCTTTCCCCCTTTCACCCACATACCCAATTGCTACTCAGTCATTTCAGCAAGAGAAAGAAAGCTTTGATGAGGAGAACACAAAATAGTTTACATATTTTGGATCTGTACTGCACTGTCTTCCATTAGTCTGCCAGGGATTCAGTCTGTGCCAAACTGACACACCCATCCCCACTCCAGGCAGGACTGTGACAGAGGAATGACAGGCTTTTCTGTTCTCTACCTCTCTGTCTCCTCCTTCACATTCACACGACAGTCATGTAACGCAGGAGAATCATGTTGAAACTGAATGGATGGTAAAAAGCAGTCTACATCTTGTTTGGAGTAAGAGAGCCCTTCAGAACAGGGAGGAAAAGTGCCACAGAAATCACTCTGCGTGCTGCACATGCATAGGTAAAGTATTCATATCTCTGAAACTTCTATCCAGAAGAATTTTTATGCTTTGATCCCGGCCCTCCCCTGCGACATGATAAGCCCCAAAAGGACAGGGCCTGGATTTCCTAGGTACCCTTTTCTCCTCCCATTGTACCAAATACACCAAGTGTTTAATAAATAAATGATGCAAAATGCCTGACAAGGACTTTTGCTGTTCTGGTGGCTGATGACTATATCAAGAAAGGGAGAAATATGGTCATTTCTAATCCATACACCCTCTAAAAACCCAGCTGGAGACCCAGGTATATCTTCTCAAGCTTCTCTTTCCCAATTGGCTTCAGTATCTCCCTATTTACAAAGGATCCTTTAGCTCTACGTGGCAATCAGTGGCACAAGTGATAATTCTCTTTTAGTCCTCACAACCTCTTTAAATAGCCCACACTTAGTGGAAGTTCCATGTAAAGAAAGACTTCTAGCATCCTGGTAATTATTAGTTACTATAATTAATGATATATCAATAATTAACATATTACAATTAACATATTAATAACACACAGTCAATTCAGTGAGACCTATATACAATTGACTTCCCCAGGCAGGCAGTCCCTTAGGGGTTGACCTTCATCTTCCTTCACTCTTCCTTTCTGGAAAGCTTGCTTATTCCGAGGTATGTACATGGTTTTCAGGTTCAATAGTTATCAGGAAAAAGAAGTCTGGGTCTCCTGCCAAATACCCATGGCTGGGATGTCTTTGGGTCAGACTACAGGGACGAACTACCCATGAGCTTCAGGAGGGCAGGGTAAGCATCTCATAGCCTTGCTCTATCACCTAGCTGGGTCTGGCTCCCAGTAGGCATGCGGTCATTGACTGGATGAGTGAATAAATGCAGAGAATGATAAATAAAGTAGTAGGTCAAGGGGCTTTAAGAATTGCTTTCTGGTGAGCAGACCAGTTTTAGAAACATGGAGATCAGTATTCTGGAAAGGAGGAAGCACAGAATTATAGGAAGTACAATTACGAGACAAGGAAAACTATCCAAAACCCTTAGGTAGGTGGATATTTGTGGCGAGACCACCTTTTTACCAGCCTTCCCCTTGCTCACACTTTATAACACACACATATGAGATGTTGAAAAAGAAAGTCCCTTAGCTGGAAGTTTAATGCTGATTGGACCTCTGAGTAACACGTTACAGCTAGGATTTATTTCTGCTCTACTTTATCCCTACACACTTTACAAACAGTAGCTTGATCATTACAACAGCTCTTCAAGGTGGCCATTACTGTTCTTTATTTTCAGATAGAGAAATTACATGGAGGAGGTTAAACAGCCATCGAAGTCAACTAGCTAACCCAGCATCTGGGATTCAAACTTGATTGTGAGTCTGTTCTTTCTCTTACTCATAAAGCATCAAACCAAATAAGCAACATGCCAAACACCTAGCTAGACAGATTGGGCTTTTAAAAAAATTGTTTGTGGTAGAAACACATACTATAAAATTACTTTCTTAGCCATTTTTAAGTATATAGCTCAGTATTGTTAACTATATTCACATTGTTGTATAACATCTCTAGAACTTTTTCATCTTGCAAAATTGAAACTCTGTACCACTGAACAAAAACTCCCATTTCTCTGTCCCACAGGGCCCAGCAAACCATCCTACTTCTGTTTCTATGAATTTACCTACTCCAGATACCTCATGTAAGCAGAATCACAGTATTTGTACTTTTGTGACTGGCTTCTTTCACTCAGCATGTCCTCAAGACTTATTCATGTTGCAGCATGTGACAGGATTTCCTTCCTTTTTAAGGCTGAATGGTATTCCACTGTATATACAGATCACATTTTTCTTATCCATTCATCTGTTAATGGGTATTTGGGCTGCTTCTACTTCTTGGCCATCGTGAATAATGCTGCAGTGAACATGGGTGTGCAAATATTTGCTCCGAGATTTTGCTTTCAATTTTTTTGAAATTGAAAACCCAGAAGTGGAATTGTTGGATCATGTGGTAGTTTTATTTTTAGCTTTCTGAGGAATCTCCATACTGCTTTCTGTAGCAGTTGTGCCATTTTATATTCCCACCAGCAGTACGCCAAGGCAGAGGGATCAGTTAGTGAACAGAATAACTCTCAGGTTAAGGACAAAAGACCGAGTAGCTTTGCGTGCAGCGGCAGTGTGATCAAATTCTTAAAACTTCACTCAACAAAAACTCCAGATCTTAGGCCTTAGTTTCTATAATTAAAGCCATATACTATTTAAACATGTACTAAAGATTTATAACTATGGATTGTCATCCCATTTTTAGAAGAACAAACTTACCAGTAGTTTTCTAAGAGACTACAACAAATGAAACAAAAATACAGGCAGTGCTGAGCCAATGAAAAGGTATTAGAAGAATTCCTATTTCCTGAAAATGAGTAGAAGCTGGTATATGAACTGCAGGCTTACCCTTGTTTTGGCATCGATTTTAGCTCCTCTATCAAGCAATAGTTTTACCATATTGGCGTTTCCTCTTTTTGATGCAACATGTAAAGGAGTGATGTCATTCTGTGAAAGAATAGAAAAAAAAAATAGTAGTTTTTTTTTTATCTTCAGGTCAACCAAAACCTTACTTCCTAAACCTCACCCACATGTCCTCATTCTTTTTCTTTTTTTAAACATCCATGGTGAACAGAATACTTCCCCACATTTCTCTCTGGCAGTAAGTTTGCCTAGAAGGAGACCCCAAAATGGATGACTTTTAAGGGACACACTCTGTGGGGTGAGGCCCATGTTTCATTTGATTGAGGTGGTGGATGGATAAGAAGATGGTTTTCCTTTGCTCTAAAATGCTGCACCTTCAACTCAGTGTGTTTTCCTACAAATTTGTTTGATGCATACAGGCTGACAGATTGATGAAGAAGTGGCTGATTAAGTCAAATGAGACTCAGTTCAAGGGATACCATGTTACTCAGAGCCTGCTCTGGGTTCATCTGAGCCAAGTTGTCGAGGAGAGAGAATTCCTGCCAGTACATACTTAGTCACAGGACTTCCCATGTGTATTGGGCTAAAATGTGTTCTTGGCATTTATTATCAATCTGACAGGAAATCATGCTTTTTTTAAAACTGCCGTTGCAGAAGACATATTGTTAGGACAATCTGGAATTTCAATTATGATCCCCTGGATACCAACGTTCTTTTCCCCATGCATCTTATAGATGCCATTATTGTTGTCAGACTGACAAGGAAATACGTGTATACAGTGAAAACATTCTTGATTTTGGCTCCTTATCCCTGTATAGTGACAATATGGGTTTAAGGTCTGTTGTGCATAAAAGCCAAATACATGATAAATGAACTAGGCTCATTTTGTCATTTGATGGCAAATACAATATAACAGCTCCCAGGTATTGACCATTCCCTGTGTTAGGCACTGTGCTAAATTCTTCACTATCTTATTTAATTTTCGTAATCTTTATAATGCTACATACAATCTGATTTACAATGCCCATTTTACAGATATAGAGACAGTTAAACAAAACTAGGATTAAAATTAAACTATGTTTCAAACTTGTTTTTTAAAAAACACTTCATAATAAAAAATTTCAAACATACAAAGTTTGAAAGGCATGATGAGCTTAATCTACTCATTACTCTGGTTCAATAATTATCAACCTTTTGCCAATATTATTTTGTCTATACTCCCTACTATATTTTTCTTGCTAAAAGAGTTTGAGGAAGAGAATAGGCATTATTTCACCCATAAATATTGCAATTTAATTATCTCTAACAGGTAAGGATATTTTTAAACAAATAATGCCAACACCATGATCATATTTAACAAGGTAAAAATTATTCTTTCATAACACTAAGACCCTGTCAGTGTTCCAATTCTCCCATTATCTCCAATTATCCCAGTGGGGCTGTTGAAATTAGAAGATCCCTATCTTGCAATAGGCTTAAACATCCCTTAAGTGTCTTTTAAGCTCCACAGGTGCTCTACTCTACCTTCTGTCTTCCAAACCTATATATTTATTGAAAAAAATGGGCAATTTATTTCTACAGAATTTTCTATATTCTGGATTTGGCTGATGGCATCCTCATGGAGTACTGTTATCGTGTTCTTTTTGCCCTGTATTTTTACAAACTTTCCCAGTTTCCAGTGCTTTTAGCCATTATACATTCTCCCATCTGAACAACTCTTTATCTCGTTATTCTTAGGTGTGGAAGTGTAAATCAGTAATTAACTTATCAAATGAAAGAAGAAGAAAGAGACCTGAGTAAAACAGATTTGTGTTGGCGATGCTGGTGGTGAGTAGACAAGGCTAATATCATTGCTGTGGGCCAAGGATAAGCAAACTTTTTGTGCAAACGGTCAGACAGCAAGTATTTCTGTCTTTTTAGGTCATTTTATCTCTGTTGCAAATACTGAACTCTGCCAGTGTAGTGCTAAAGCAGCCATATGCAGTATGGAAACAAACGGGAATGGTTACATTCCAATAAAATGTTATTTACAAAAACAGACGGTGGGCGAGACTTGGCCTGGGGGCAGTAGGTTACTGACCCCTGCTCAACACCTTCCAGCTTATGGCTGAAGGTTTCAACTGTGAGTAACAAGTTACAAAAGATGAAAAAAACTATATATGCTGTGTATTTTGTATGCTTTGGTCCTTTTGATGTGGACTATTTTTTGGTGTGAATGAAGTAAACTTTATGATAACTTGTTATTGTCTTGCTTATCTCCGCTACCTGAGTAGAAGTGTGGGCCACTCTAACGACCCAAGCAGGATGAGTGAACTCTAGACCTGAGACAGTGTGGGGAGCGTCAGGGCAGGTCTATAGGAAAACCAGTCTAACAGGAGAGCTCACTGTGCCCAGAGTGGGACCTGACACAGAGACCTCATCATTTCCCAGTGTGAGTCAGGGCTTATTTCCCTTTAAAAATGTACCCTAGTCTGGTTGAGAAGAACCTAATTAACCTTTATCACAAGTAGGCTAATTTTAGTGAGAAGAACTCTGTTTCTAATTTTGCTCTCTTCCATATTCATGCACTCTAATACGGTGATGTGTAGAAGTCAAAAGGGTGCCGTGAAATTCTGACTCCCACATTTTTCTACACCTCTCTAACCCTTCCTAGAGAAAACTTTGTATTTCTATAGCCCTTAAAAAGTGTAAAGTGTAAGAAAATTACACTTATCTAATTTCATTTTCTCTACACAACAATCTACTGAAGTAATATAAGTAACAATAACCCTATCTGACAAATAAATTGAGGAATAGAACTGGTCAGTCATTTTATATTAGTAGACAGCTAATTAGAGGCAGAATGAGGATCAGAATTCAGTTTTCTCAACCCTTGGGCAGCGGTATTTTCAGTCAAGGATCATACTGCCTCTGTCTAAAGACCATTGTTTCTTATTTCTGTCAATTGGAACTTTGGAAGGAAATATATGCTTCTGCATTCCTGAATCGTGTAGCGACTGTTTCTGTCAACTAGGAATAAATAAAAATGAAAGTTGTATCTTTAGACCACTCATGGCACATTTATATTCCAATTCCTCAACAAACCAATAAAAGCACTTTCTGCCCTCAGAGGCAGAGGCCTGGTGCTGCATTCTCACTGCTGACCCAGCGATAGAATCACAGGGTCCCGAATCACCAAAGGACACCAGTGAGGTTCCAGACAGAAAGTCTTGTTTAAGTGGATCCTCATTTGCTGCTTGTGAAATATAACTTTATATGTGTTTCTGGGATGCAATTTGACAGCATATAAATCTACAGCCACTGAAACAGGACAGAGGTTGGCTGCCATAGCAGAAAGGGCAGGAATGCTGAAACAGACCCAGCCCGAAGGCCTAGACACACTCTCGATGACTGAAGCGGAACCAGAATCAAAGACGCCTCGGCCCAGCCTGAGCCTAACAGAAAGTAACAAGCAATCACAGTCAATTGCCGGGTTAGGCAGGAGCTGGCCGAGGGACGTTCTCCATGCTGTAGGCGAGCAGGGACAGCTGAGCAAGGAGCACTAACACCAAGTCAAAATATTGGCCCCCTCCCCCACCCTAAGCATAAGGAAAATCACCCTCCTCTGAAGGAATTTTCAGTCTGTGGTGAAAACAAAATGTAAACTCAGTGCAACTAACTCATCTCTTGACTAAACTATATTATAACCCTCTACATGTACTGCCTGAAGGAAGAAGAGGCTTGCCCCGTTTCCAGACAAAGATACTGTTTACCTCAGTCTCTCCAACTTTACACACAATATCCAGCATTCTGTCTAATAGAACAGGTAAACTACCAGCATCAAAATATAGGGAATTTCAATCAAATACAAACACTTGATATGAAAAGCCCCAGTATCAGAAATGAAGAATTCTTTTGGTGGACTCATCAGCAGACTTCACAAAGCTAAGAAAAGAACAGTGAACTTAAGATATGTCAGTATAAAGATCCCAAAAGAGAAAAAAGGGGCGGAAAACAAAAAATATCCCAGACCTGTGAGATGATATGAAACAGCACAGGAAAAAGACAGAGAATGGGGCAGAAGAAATATCTGAAGAGATAATAGTCAAGAATTCTTGCAAAGTAATGGAGTATATTAAACCACATATCTAAGAAGCTCAAAGATATAGAGCATGGTAATAAACAAGCAAACTCCACTATTAAACACATTAGTTCAATTGTTGGAAATGAAAGACAAAGCAAAAATCTTAAAGAAAGGCAGAGGAAAAAAGGGCATAGTTCAGAGAGAGAACAAAGACAATAATTACAGCATCAGAAATTATTCAACGCAGAAAACAAAGTCACATCTTTCAATACAGAAAATAAACACCTGATAAATGAGAATTCTAAACTTAGTGAAAGTTCTTCTAAAAATCAAGGAGAAATAGACTTTTAAAGAAAAACAGGAGCTAAGAGAATTCATTACCAACAGATTTGCAATATGAAAAATATTAAAGGAAGTTCTTCAGGTGGTAGGAATATGATACCAGACAGAAACTTAGACCTACACAAAGAAATACAGAAAGGGCAAAAGAGAAGGTAAACATAAAAGATGATTATCTAAAACAAACAATGGATTATGGGGTTTATAATAAACGCAAAAGTAAAATGCACAACACCAACCACACATAGATGGGAGGGAAGAATTACAACAATCCTGTTGTCAGGCTCTCGTATTCCATGTAAAGTGATATAACATTTGAGGGTAGACTGTGATAAATAATAACAAAGGAAATACATTATTAAGTAAATGCTCTCATTTTATTATGTCTCTCTCTCTCTCTCTCTCTCTCTCTCTCTCT